CACAGATTTCTTTATTTTAATTTTATATTTTTAGGAAAGATATTTAAAATACTTAATTGCCTTGTTTTAGATACCCAAACTATTATGTTAAGCTGTATTTATTAAGTACATATTTTTAGATCATTTTTAAAAATGTTAAGTAGGAAAACAATATGTTAATTCCTTTAAACTATGATTTTAAATACATTTAAACATCCAAACATGTTTGGAAATAGTTGAAATTATTTTAAAAATTTAAATTTATGAGTACTGGCCATTTTTCTATCTGTACACACAATGACACCATCCCCTACACACACACACACACATGTCATAAGCACACACACAGAGTGGGAGAGGGAAAGATAGAGAGTGCTGAACAGCAGCTGCAGCTGCAGCAGCCATTTTTTATCATCATTTCCGGAACTCGTTGACAAACGGAAGCGACGAGCCGAGTGCAAAGGGGGTCGACGATTGTACAGGGGCGGTGGGCCAAAAAGGGGGCCCAAGCACATTAAGCGAGAGGGAGGAAGCGGATATGACCGAAATAGCATAGCCATTGCTTATAATTTTACATTTGAAAACTACACTTTGAACTACTTTCCCATGTAAGTATGTACTTACTTATACGACCATCGAACGAGAGATTATCCCCCAGAAATACCCTTTTGAGCCCATTCACTTGGCTACGGTTAAACTGCAGGGTTAAAAGGTAAATAAAGGATTTTTAAATTACAAAAAGAAATAAAAAAATATAGATTCAAATATTTCTACAATAAGTAGATATAAATTAAATATAGAAAATCATCGCAATTTGTCAAAAATAATGTTTACTTACGCCATCGACAATAATATCAAATAATCAAATACTTTAATGGCACATTATATACACATAAAATATTATGTTCACTATTAACGATAACTAAATATATTTATATTCAATTCCTTGGCAAATACCGAACCCACATCATTCCGATAGTGACAAGTTTTTATGCTCCAGCCACTGGCCATAAAAAAGTCATAAAACATCGATATCAACGAGCACATATTTGCCCATCCCTTCGACCCACTCGACTCGAAATCTCCGGCTAATTTCTTGGCCCAGGCAGCGCATTCGCTTGGTCAACCATCGACGACGCGCTTGGAGCTCAACACTTGGCCAAATCCCATCCCCACTCCGACATTTCCCCCTTTCAGGGCCCCATTTCTTTTGGCTACTTTCCGCCGCTACTGCCATTTACTCCATATCAGCAAATCCAAGCCCATACCACTCCAAATACCACGCCCTGCTCGTTGGGCTCGTTCGACAGGACTCACTCTTTATGTATGTACACTGCGAATTATTGGGAGGTGCTTGTGTGAATTTAATAAAAACAAAATATTTTTAAGGATTTAATAAAAACTATTAGTATAAAAGATTTAATTAAAAATAAAGTCATAAATACACATTTTTCATGTTATCCGAGAAATAGTGATATATTGTGATACTATTTGAAATAAAATATATACAGCTTCTAGATATTAGATTACAAAAAATAATTAAAATGTGTGAATACGGAAAGATAAATATATTTATTTCCCAAGTAAAATGTTAATAGTCCAAACAGGCAGAAAAAAATATATACAAACCCTCCATATTTTCTCACTGTGCTTAGGGAAGTATGTGTGTGTTTGTGCGGAGTGTTTTTTTCGCATTGACAGCAAATTCGAAATATATTTGCCCACTGGCCGACTGGTTTCCTTTCCTTTCCGTTCCTTTCCTTTCCAGCCACGTTTTACACCACATTTTCGGGGCTTTCAACGGGCCGCTTGAGTTTGGAGCTTGGAATGTTTTTACTGCTGAATGGGTAATTTAGTATTTGGCAATTAGCTTTTGCTTTCGGCCCTCCAGCCAGAGGATAGATTTTCCCTGCTCCGCTTCGGCTTCAGCTTCATTTTCCATTTTCCCCATTCTTTCGAGCATTTTTTTCTGCCATTCAATTGGCACATGCATTCTGCCGAGTCGTCGCTTCGTTCGCCTGTTTGTTTATCTGTTAAATTATGCAGTCGTCTATTAAGTGGTCGAGATTTATGTGACCACCGCCAGCAGGAGTGAAGATATTGCCACGGATCGGGAGAATCCGTTTAATTTCCATGAGCCAGCATCCGAAATCGAACTATGTTAAGTCGTGTATGAGCCTAGCTGAAGATTATCGCATTTAAATTTCTATAATTGAAGAATTTATTCTAGGTCTGTTACATTGTTGGAACTTAAGAGCTAAATTGTATTTATTTATATATTTTAATTCTATTTGTTTAATTAATTACTCTAAAATTGCAAAAGGCAGTTATAATTGTAAATATATTTTTTTTAATTTTTTAAAAATTATATTCACTTAAATCCATGCATGAGTTAAACATTTAATTGGCATAAAATACTTTCTGTGCACATAATTTCGCATATGATATAATAAGCAAAATACATAAATTCGAAGCACGCCGTTTAAACAAGTGTGTGTACAAAATAATACGCACGTTCGCCTTTCTATAATAATAATAAAATACATAAAGTAATATGTGAAATTTGTTTTCCACTTTTGTCATTTGCAATTATTTTGCCATGTTGGCCCCGGCTTTGTAGCGCTGTCATTTAATTTTGTTTACGCTTCATTAAATATTATTGAAATGCTGCAATTAATTGCGTAATTGTTATTTTATGTCGCAGCGCAACTGTTTCGGGCACTTTAAGCACTTGACACAACAGCCAGTGGCCAGTAACTGTTGCCCTTTGGCTTAATTCTTCCCTTTTCCACCCACTTTTCGGCATTTTCCTCGAGAGTTTTCCCTGCCCTGCCGTTTTCATGCGAACTCATTGAGGGCCCCGAGGGCCATTTGGCCGGCCAACAAATTGCACATTAAATTAAACACAAATAACTCGTAAAATTATAAAATTGTTGAATAAAAAAAACGTAAAGTGCAGCAACTATGTAATTAGCTGCCAAATCAACAAGCGCGCAAATTATCAGTGAAAATAGTGAAAAAATAGTAAAAATATAATGAAACTGCCACGAACCACAAAAAAAATATATAAAAAGTTGCAACACGCAAGAATAACAAACTGAATAATACACGCAAATACCCTTTCTGGATTTAAAGGGAATCGTTATGAAGACCACAAAAATGGGTTTTTCCAGTATTTGATTATGGGAATTAATCAATAGAATTATTATTTTAAAGATCTTACATCAATTACTTTAAACTCGTTTAATAAGAAGCCCATATAGAGAGAACTACTTACTTTGATCATCGCAATAACTGTTCCAATTCCAATCATTCTCATGTTCTCATGTTAACTAAAAATAAATTATAAAATTTTAAAAATTAATCATTAGCTGATGATCTTCACTTTTCACATTCGTACCTTTTTCCTTAAAATAAGCATGTTACAGGGTGTCGGGAAAATAACAGACGGTAATAACACACATAACTCGTCCATCGCATGCAATTTCGGAACCGTTTGAGGTTTTCGGTTGGACGTTGAACAATTGCCTGACATTTCACTTAGCCAACCTCAACACATTTCACTTTTTTACATCCATTTCGCTGTGAATTAGTCTAAGTTCGCTCACGCTGCTGGGCAAACAAAGGAAAAAATGTATATATATTGTATATGTATTGTGTACAAAATGTAGCAGTAAATCAAAAGAAGAAATAAGGGGCGAAATCCCCACCCAAAGCCATTTGTCAAGCGTCAACAAGAGCGCTGACAAGTGAGAAGCGGATGGGGTTGGCTTTCCTTCGGATTGGGGTTTAGTTTCTAACCCACCAAACCCCAAATACACCGGGGAAAAATGAAATATATGGTTATTAATATTGTTATTATAAGGTATCTAATAATTACATATTGCCTAAAGGATCTAAACGTAAAAAATATCTTAGGAATATCATAGAACTTTTAAACTGATTGTAGAATACAGTTACTTTTCTCCTATTAAGATTCGATTTAAATATTTTTAAATATCTGTTGGGAAAAGAATAATATATAAATAGATTTTTGTGCTTCTAAACATTCCACTTTATTTTATATTTTTTTTTAGCACATTTTCTTAAGTGTAGAGTTTGTCGGCCAAACGATTTAATTTCATTATTAAACAATGGGCGACAAAGTGGCAGCAGATTTCATTTATGACCCGCCTGCTCACAACACGCGATGTAATGTGTGCCCTAACCTCGGTCCTCAACCTCAACCTCAATCTTATGTGAAAAGACTGAAGTGACCTGCCCCAACTAATTTTACATTGGAACTGCTGCCCAACTGGCCAACTAACACGCAAGGGAGGCAAAAGGGGCGGGGGGCGTGTCAGCGGTCAGGTCAACGTTGACGCATTGCACAGGAACCAGATAATTAAGCATAATGACAGAAATATTATATAGCACTTGCAGCACTTGCTTGATAGATGACCCCCTATGAAGTGGGGCGACGTTGGTTGAACGCTGACTGAAATATATGGCCAGATGACACAGGAACAACCAATTTGGTGCCGCCACTAATCAGATCAAACATGTTGGTGAGGGAAGTAACTGCGGGAGAGTGGGGGTGCAAAAGACCCAGAAAGAATTTACAAAGGAAGTGGTAAATTGTTTGGACATATTGGTTAATTTAATGTCCTTAAAAGTTAGCTTTTAAAGGGAAGATTCCAAGAATAAAAAATATATTAGATATTACCATTATGAGTGGTAGTTTCGTTTTAATGTAATATCGCCCTCTGTAATGCGGGTCTCAGGCCATTTATTTTTGTTTCTAAACTAAAGAAAACGAAATCTAAACATTAAATTCAAGATCAGAGTAGCCGGAAAATCTTAAAAGTCAAACCCTGTTCGAAAATAAATTTTATTTAGCCAGTTGTGAGTGCCACTTACACCTTCAAACACGTATACTTTCTACGCTCCCTAAAACAAAATAGTATTTTTCACTTTCGTAGCTTTATACGCTATTTTATTTTTTGCGGTGCAAACTTCTTGGTTTTAATATAAAACTAATCATGATTAAGCTGCAAAATGTATATAAAACGGGATCAGGCAAAAACTCGTGCAATTCGTCGCGACGAGAGATCCTGGCTTGGGTAAATGAAACTTTGGATACCACTTTCATGGAATTGGATGACCTGAGGTCCGGTGTGGAATACTGTCAGTTGCTCCACAAACTCCGACCAACCGCCATTAACTTGAGAAAGGTCATAGTAAACACGTTGGCCCAACATGAACATATTCTCAATATGAAGCTGCTGCAGAAGAGTCTCTGGAATCAGGGTGTTGAGAAGCAAATACCGATTCTTCGACTGGTTTCTGGTGCTTGCCGCGAGAGCCTGGAGTTTGGTCAATGGTTTAAGGCGTTTTATCAGCGTAATTATGTCCAGCTTAAAGAGGAAACGGAAACAAAAGATCCTAGTATTTGCGATACATATTCAATTGTTAGCTTGGAATGTTTACAGGAGCTTAGAAGCTGTTTCAGAAGCTCAGGAAAGCACACGAGAAAATTCCGATCATGTGAGTGCAAAAGACATTCGAATGCAGTCAAGAAAAATTCCGAAGAAAGGGGAAAGTATTCGAAAAGGAAAACGAAGATCCCTTACCATCGTAAGGATCATCGAAAGGAATCTGCTTTTTCACGTTTCCGTCGAACGGAATTATTTGGTTTTATGAAGTCTACAGTAAAGGTAAACTACTCGCGTCTGAAGAACCTCAACTATTTCGGAATAGCCCACTCGGTTTATCGCCTGCTAGGCGACGCAGACAAAAACAAAGTGGGTAAAAAGCATATATATTCAAAGTTAGGCGAAATTAAGATAAAATTAAACTCGGAAGATCAAAAAGTTTTCAGTCGCGCCTTTGACAAGAAGTGCATGATCATGAAATCGATTTTTGTCTGCGATTGCTATATCAAAAGGAAGTGGAGGGCAAGAACCAGACCTAGAATAAATATAGAGGGATGCAACATTCCAGAGTTTTGCAACTCAAAGCCGATTGATCTAACAGATCAGCAACAATGTCCTTTATTATTTCTCCCTTTAAACTCAGAAACCAAACCAACTCTGCTGATCAAGGATTCCGGCATAGACCTTGTCTCACAAGAATCATCTGTGGATGATGATGTAAGTGTGAGCATTCCTTTGGAAAATCTTTTGGACGAGAAAAATCTGCAAAAAGAAACCCAATTGGCCCGAGAAGTGCCTGAAGAAGATAAAGCAATTGAATTATCAGATATAGATTCAGCCTTTGAAGAAGTTCAAAAATGGCATGAACACTTACCTGAAATTGTAGCTAGAAAAATTCTGACAACTTCCTGCGATACGGAAGAAATAGATTTTTTTTTTGAACCAATTGATATTCCTTCCCTAACGTATGATGACAGCTCGTCGAACTTTGTAACTTCACCTAAAATTGAAAACACTAATCTGGCGACTTTCCCTGATACTGAAGATATCGAACTGTTTTTAGGACCAATTGATATTCCTCCTCCAACGTGTAATGAATGCTCTTTGAACCGTAAAACTTCACCTGAAACTGATAATAATCTGACCAATTCCCTTGATACTGAAAATATAGAATTGTTTTGGAATCCAATTGATACTCTACCTTCAACAGATGATGACAGCTCATCGAACTGGCTTAGTGTTTGCATTAATTATCCTCCATTGAGGATTGGGGAAGACGAATGCGTTTTTTCTGTACAGTTTAACAGACAAAAAAAAGATAAAAATGTGAGACTTCAGGAAGAGCAAGCTAAGCCGAAATTTAACATGGTAACTAAACCTAAAAAAATAAAGAAACTACGTACGCGTAATAAACGAAGGAATCGGGAATCGAAGATACAATCTATCCAAAAATTATTGGAGTCTAATCGGAAATGCCTTCCTTCACAATCGGAAAATAAGAAAGATGGGGAAGAGGCTAATCCAGACATTGAAAAAGATATTTTATTTGACACTCAACTTTTGGAACGCAGGGAACCTTTGACAATCATGAAGCCAGGCAACCCTGATCATATCTCACCTAAAAACGTATCTACCAGAGAAAGTCATATAGCTTCAATTCCTCAAAGAATTTCCAAAAATCGAAATATGATGAAGACTAAAAAACCTGCACGATATTTATGTCTAAAGAAAAATTCTTCTTACCCCCAAAGTCAGGTAAACGCAAAGGATTTAAAGTACTTGGATGAGACAATCACTGGTTACGAAAGGTTACAGGAGGAAATATATTTTTTTAAATCAAGGCTACTAGACCTTAATTTTCGATACCAAAAAGCCACGAATCTCCACCAAGGCAATGTGGAAAATGTTTTGCAAAAAAGGGATTTCTTCACTATTTCAAATTTTTCCGGAAAGCTTTGGGGTGAAAAATTTAGCAAGAAGAGACTTAGGAAATGTCATTTTCGCGCTTGCAATGGGAGTATTCAGAAACTTAAAAATTTCAAGAGTAAAATTAAGCCCCTGGAATATTGGATCAGGCAGGGAAAAATACCAACTCTGCCGATATCGACCAATAAAAAAGAGATAAATGTCGATAAGGAAATTGCTATGATAATTGATAGTGTCGGTATTAAGCTCGAAGTACTACGAACAATTCAGAAAAATTATTCAAAAAGATCACAGAAAGAAGTATAAATTTTCATAAATTAATATTGTTGATTCCCCGTTGCCAGTTAAGTTTCGGAAAAATCTAAAAAATAATCCTGAAGATTTGCATAAAATCTTTTCCAGTTCAACGAAAATAAATTAAAAAGTCTTATCCCTCCCAAAAGAGCTTCTGCTGAGCTAAAATAATATTTGACCAACTAAAGATTTCCCCAGTTGTTGTTTTAGCCGCAGTGTTGAGTTGCGTCGAGTTAAAATTTGCCTACACTCGTTGGTAATTGCTGTGAAGTGAAGTGTCTGGTTTTGGTTTCGGAGACCGCCTTCTGTCACTTGTCCATTCAGTCACTCAGTCAGTCAGTCACTCAGTCAGTTAGTCAAACAACCAACGCAACCGCATTCATTTGCCAAATTAATGGCATTTCATTTGGGGCTGCTGCCGCCTCGGCTCGATTTCATTCATGCCAGGATGTTGTCCTCATCGTTGTCTTTTTCGTTGTTGCTGTCGTTGTCGTTGTCTGTCCTGAATTTACGTGTCTGGTTTAGCCGCTTCTGGCGAAGAGATACTACTCCTAAACCAACTGTACACAGGGAAAAATATCAGTTAAAAACAAAGATAAACAAAGAAAAAATGATAATAAATAAAAAACAAGAGAGAACGCTATAGTCGGGTTGGTGTCCCGACTATCTAATACCCGTCACTCAGCTAAAGGGAGTGCGAACGCTGTAATCGGGTTGGTGTCCCGACTATCTAATAAACGTAGCTCAGCTAAAGGGAGTGCGAGGGAGATATATATATAAGCAATTTTGATTGCGTATAACTTTTTAATGAATGGACCGATTTGAAAAATGCATTTATACTTCTCGGAAATCTATAAAGATGTGGGCGCAAGAGACTTTTTAAAATCGTTAGTGGGCGATTGTGGGCGTTAGAAGGGGCGTGGCGCTTGGCTGAAAAAACTGGCGCTGCGTAGGAGGCCAAAAAATTTGTGTGGAAAATCTCAACCTTCTACCTTTTGTAGTTTCCGAGATCTCAGCGTTCATACGGACGGACAGACAGACAGACGGACAGACGGACATGGCTAGATCGACTCGGAAACGCTTCTTTCTAGCTGTTACATACTTTGCACGAATACAATAGTGACGAAGCGCACCAGGAGAGTGTGCGAAGGCGACTACTATATATACACGAAGAAATGAAAATCTACTGTGATGGTCCGATCATAATGAATGATACACCTATCGAAAGGTATTGCGAAAACTAACAGGATTGCATACCAAGACTCTAAGAAAATCAATTGGCTTGGGAGAGAGAGCGGTGAAATTGAAAAAGTGAAAATTTCGAAGTTTGGAGCTGTTGGGGCCGGTGGGGATAATTGCCCCCTCGCAATATTTTAGTTGTATTCCTTTTGAAAATACCCGTCGAATGAGGGGTCATTTGTCAAAATCCGACGCTCCGTTCAAAAGTTATAGCCAAAATAAGATTTTCTTCGTCTTCCCAAAATGAAAATTTAATTCTGTTTGTCAGTTTGTCAGTTTGTCAGTTTGTCCAAAACATGTTTTTTAAGTTTTGAAAATTTGATATGACGTTCATCACATCGATATAAAAAACTTTTCTTCTACCACTTTTGGAAAAACTCGCTAGTTTAGCGGGAAAACAGCTATAAATAGCTAAAATTTGGAAAGCCGTAACTTCTATACTACTAAAGCTACAGACTTGTGCTGCATCTCGTTTGAAAGGTATTTTGAAATGCTATAAACGTCTTCTATATGCAATTTGTGTAAATGTAATAGTTAAAAAAATATGAACAAAAGACAATTTTTTAAAACTTTTTTTTTAGCTTTTTTTATTTTTCTCAAAAACGGCTCTAACGATTTTCTTTAAAACCTTAAACTGTATAGCCCTTGAGATTCCTTAAATTTTGGTATATAACACATTACTGTAAAAAGTCACGTTTAAAAGTTATTTTTATACGAAAATAGCCACTGTTGCCAGCTCGAACAATTAACGCTCCCTGAGTATTGAATTTTGTGGGAGGGTATCCGAACTGTATTTTAGGGTCATGGAATCAGTAAATTTGCACTTAAGAGTTCCATATAGGAATCTTTTGTTCTACGACTTTTGGAAAAAGCCGCTACTTTAGCGGGAAAAAGCTAAAAATAGCTAAATTTCGTTAGTTTGTAAGTTCTACACTACTAAAGGTACCGACATGTGCTATACCTCGTTTAAAAGGTATTTTGAAATACTTAAACGCCTTTTTAACTTAATTTGTTTAAATACAATGGCTTACAAATTATGATTGACCAATTTTAATTTAAATGTATATATTAGCTCCTATGAGAGCAAATGTAAACAAACAAAAACTTCTGATATCAAATAAAAACACCTCTTAACGAGGTAAAAAACTAGTGACGATCGCACCTTCAACATACAAAAGTTCTGATATCAACATTTGTGACGAAAAATTATTACACTCTTCATTAAATAGACTTTCTAATATTTTCTTATTCGGCACGCTGCAATAGAAAATGCCTGTGAAGGGAAAAAGGCTGGAATAGTTTGCTAGGGCGGGCCGAATGAGAAAATATTAGGAAGTCTATTTAATGAAGAGTGTAATAATTTTTCGTCACAAATGTTGATATCAGAACTTTTGTATGTTGAAGGTGCGATCGTCACTAGTTTTTTACCTCGTTAAGAGGTGTTTTTATTTGATACAATATACCCTTTTTCTCTACGAGTAACGGGTATAAACATTTATTACAAATCTATCAATCATTTTGAATAATGACTAATGGTAAAAGATTATTTATATATTTTTGTAGTTATATTCAAAGAACTAAAAAACTTGTAAAGTAGAATTCAGCAATTAATGAAATTGTAACTCTAATTAAAATTCTATCAACAAATTTTTCTCTTTTTTTTAAATTCTAAATAATTGTTTTCCAAATGGTTTATATTTGTATTGATCTACTGATTTTCTTCGCCGTGCACAAACTCCTTTCTTCCCAAAGCCGCTCTTTTTTTTGCCAACTGGCGGCTGGCCAGAAAAACTCCTTTCTCTGGATTTTCCACGAGGGTCAAGGGGTTAAGGGAGCAGATTGGTGTGTTGTCGGGTGAAGGAGGGGATGGGGGTTCACATTTCCAGGCGAACGATTTTGGCAGCCAGTTGTTTGTCAGCGGCGTGCGATTATTCAAAAGTGCAACATGCAAATTTATTTTGTGCATAAAATGTTATGAGCTCGCATGAAAATGTCTGACAACAATTGGGACTGGCAATCGCTGTCACCGCGCCCGAAAAACTTGTTGGCCAACTTTTCCGGGGGATGGGTCCTCGAGATTCACCCACTTCGAGAGGAGTCCTCTTAGGATATCACATAGCAGTAAAAATTTAATAAAAGTATGAAATAATTAATGGTGTATGAAAAAATAAATATATTTAATATATAATATTTTTAATTACTATTTTAAATATTTGCACCTCTTTTTGACTACCGCATTCATTTAAAAGTTCCAAACTTGTAGCGTTAGGATGGCATTTAATAATAAAATACAAATACAAATATAAAATAAAACCATATTAAAATTCCTTGTTAAAAAAATAAAATACATTTATTTATAATTATTACTATAAAATATTTTAAATAAAACTTTTGAAATAATAAAATAAATATATATTTTTAAATATTACTAGAAAATATATTAAATAACAAATGGTGAGTCCTCTGTTTTTCTTCAATTTTCCTAACTGGATCCTATCTTAATCTAAAACATATAAACTTTTCCCAAAGGCATAGGCCTCTTTAGCCACAAACTGACTTTCGTTGAGGTGTTTTGGCCTGCTCTACTATTTTGTTTTGTGGCTCAGAACAGTGGGTATCTCTTAATTGGATGCTGCAAAGTGTCGAGTGGGTTTACCACTTCTTCTCTGATTGTTTCCATCCATTATGCCACTCCGCACTCTGCGACATTGAATTGATTTCAACCGCTGCCGCATTTCAATTAATATGTATATTGTACAGGCGGTTATATATTGCCACCATATTCATTTCCCAACTGGCGGGAAAAGCCGCCAGTGATTTGCACTTTTCCAGCTCATTAAAATCGCATAATTTGTTAAATATTTACGAGTTTGTTAAGCGCCGGATCCGCTTTATATTTCTCGCAGCGGCGCTTCATTTACCTAATAAAATTACTGTCAATTAACGCCTGGTATCGCGCGCTCACCTACATTTTCGTCCCACGGTCGCCAACCTTTGGCCCTCGAGTTTCTCGGAACCCTCCTCTGGGTGGATTATTATTTACTTTGAGGGGTTCAGGTACATCATCAGCAGCAGCACGGTCAATAAATTATGTAAACGGCTTAAGCTTCCATTGCCATTTTTTCTAAGCCCTGCGCATAAATTACAAACTGACAGGTCCAGATCCATAAAATTATGAATTTTTGGAAATTAGATTTAAAACTCATTACGAAAAAAATGGTTGTTTATTTAAACAGATTCTTGAAATATTTATTTAGAATATAACATTTTTAAATGTTTAATAAACGTTTTTAGCTGTTATTTGATAGTAGATAAAAGGTTTTGTTTCTTGTTGTTTTAATACCAATATTTTACAAATGAATTTATAAATTTCTGGTAAATAGAATATTAAGTTGTTTGTAAGAGACCTAACGGTTATTACAGAAACAAAATTTCACAATATGTTCGAGGTGTAACTTGACATTTGGATGTAAAAATTAAATCTATTTCAAAATTTTGTTTTTTTCTTTTCATTTGTTTCTTGTTTTTTTAGAATTAGCTTACAAAGCTTTTTTAAGATATTCAAATATTTTTAATATGTCTTACAAATTTGTATACTAAATTTACTGATAATTTGCATAACTCCTTGATTGCTTTGTTAAGAAGGTTTTTCGAAGCCAAGAATTGATGGAACTCTAACTGGATACCGCCATGTGATTATCCTCCCTGAGACTTTTTCTATCCATATACGACCGCTGCAGGCCAAACGATCCAGTGCATTCGAAGTTGTCATTGATGGTATCCAACCAACCATCCAATAAATTTCCGTTGCATAATGCAAATGCTCCTGGCGCCTCCTTATTCCTTCGACGTTTGTAGGCAAAGCGATCACTTCTGTTATGGGCATTCTCGTTAAATGAGAATGGGGAATATTTCGTGGAAGGTTGATCCCACAACACTTTTTCCTTTCCTTCGCTATCGCAGAATTCCGAAATTATGAAGGCAGCATTATTTTTGTTGCTTATGTTCCTAGTATTAAACTTCATTTGTACGGACCTAATGGTCTTAAGACTACCGACAGTTGAAGAGGATAAACTTATGGCATTAGCACTGTGGCAAAGAAGTCCGGTTACCCCGTTATTATCAGCAAAATCACACTGTGAACATGCATCTGCAGTTTCATATCGAAAGGTTTCCAATCGTCCATATCCCAATAGATTTCCGTTGACCTTGCAATCCTCGGGCAACCATCCCTTTGGAAATGGATCCCAATCAAAGTTCTTGGTGTCCTTGGTGACCTTGGCTTGTCGCTTCACAAGCTCGGATGTTATATATGGGGATATGTAGCACTCATAGGCGTTATGATTTGCCGCCGTGGGTATTCCAAACGATCCAGATCGGCAGGGATTGGGTCCCTCGATAGTCTGCTGCGGAACAGCTGCATCCGGATAATTCCAGTGAACTTTTTGACCACCGGGCGTCATGTTGGCACCGATCCCAATGATATATTCATAGATCGGATACGGGATTGTCATATCAGAAAATGGAACATGCATACCAATCGATTGGAGGCGAGGAACTCCAAACCTTGCCTCTTGAATCATGTGGGCCGTCAGGGCTTCAGTCATCGCATGCTGAAACACGCAGATGGGTAACCTCCTTGGTAGAAGATAGTCCTCCCTCTCCATAATAAAGTAAACTTCTCGAACTAGCGGAATAAAGCCCGCAAAGTCAAAGTTCTGACCACAAATGTATGTAGAACGGCTCCCCATTTTTAAAGGTACTTTGATTTATTTCCAGCACAACATAAGACAGCTGATGAGTATGACCACAGCTTGACTGTTGAAATATACTCAGCCCGCACTTAGCCTTAAAATACTCTCATGATCTTTTCTTTATACGGTATATTTTGATCTTCGTAGAATAATTGTAAACCGCGAGCTTTAAAATATTAGATTGCCTAAATCATTTTTAGAAAGTTGTAATATTTCGGCTTTTAAGTATATAAAGCTCTTTTTAAGTATATAGTTTTAGGAGTACTAACAATAGCCAAATAACTATGTTTATCTTAATCTAATAAATTAATTAATCGATACTAAAATGATTTATTACAACTGTGATTATAAATCATCACTATAAATCGTTATCATAAATCCTTTATCATAAATGTTAAAGAGAGGGTCTAACATAGATTAAATACAAATTTTGTGATAAGAATGTAGTGAATCAAATTATATAGCAATCTAGAAAAGCGGTTCTAGGTAGTGATAAGCCCTTATCATTTTAATAAATTTTGAGAGAGCAAGCTATTCACTTAATGTATTCTAAATCAACAAATTTTGTTCAAAAATCGGTATTGATAATGTTAGAAAATGTTCCGACGAGTTATCTTATCATAAGTAGGTGACGACCTTCAATAATAAACCGCTTTTAAACTAATTATAAACCAATTTTAACCAAATATGTCTCAATAAGATTATTTTGAGTAATTTAAAAACTAAATCAAATTCTATAATCAGTATACAACGGTAAAATACCAACAAGATTGTCTAGCAAGTTTATACACAACCTCTTTTAATTTACGGTTTGCTATAATAAAGACTTAAAGACTTTGAAATCTCAATTTTAGGCTTCCTCCAATTTTTAATAACTTTACTAAGATATACGTTAAACTTAATGCTCCGCTTTGCTCAAATTGAATGGTTTTATATTTTTGACCCCCCAAAATTATATGGCTTTACATTGATCCCTGCCAAAAATTCCGATGGTCCGCAAAAGTGAAATTAATTTTTTCTGCTGACGAAGAAAGGCCGAAAAAAGTGCAGTTTCGTCAAAGGAAAAGCTGAAATCCGAAAACCAGCACATAAAATTTCAACCGAAGGAAAAAACATAAAGCTGATGGATTTACGAACAGAACGAACCATTTTCCAAGGGTTGTGTGGTTGGGGGAGGAAAGTGGGTGGGAAAAGTGGAAAACTCGGCGGTTTGGTGGCTGTCTAAAAGCATGCCACCAAATAATAATAGTTTTTCACTTGTTCAGTTTGACCGCCAGCAGCCAAGCGCCGAGTTTATGTGACAAACGTGACTCAAGCGACAATTGCTCGGCTTTTTCGCCCCGGAAAATCCGGGAAATCGTGCGCAGGGGGCGGGGGGCGTCAGGGGGTGTGTGGAAATTCCGAGGGGCAAGGATCCGAGGGGCTCTGCTTTTTTATGACCTCACAATAAAGCGAGCAATTGAGCGTCTTAAAGTGTCGCACAAGTGCATTTAAATCACACACTTTGCGACCATTTGCCGTAATTTGACTTTAAATGTTATGGCCAAGAGTTGATTCGCCCTCATCGTCACACACACACCCATCCACTCTAGCCACCCACTCCAGTTCCTCCTCCCCACTTTTTAGTTTGCTAGTCGAAAGACCTTGGGCTCTGCTCCATTTTATACAAGAAATAAGAAAAACATAAATTTGATGTACATGTCGATTATGTGCCAAAATCGAGCAAAAACCAGAAATTTCACGGTGCGTAGAAGTCTTTAGTCAACTTTCTCGACCTTGGCCAAATGAGGTCATCAAATGGAAGGCAAAGTATTGAAAATGAGTCTCAAGATGGCCAACACAGTTTAGTTAATTTTGGCTATTGGTTATAATTTAATTTGTATTTAGATTAGTTTAAACTTAAAAGAATTCTTTGGATAATTCTACTAAATAGAAAGCAAAATTCCTTAAAAACAGGATAATTTAAAATATAAAAAGCAAGCAACATCGAGTTTCCATCGAATTGATTTCTTACTTGAACCAAAAGCGAAAAAACAATGCAATTTAAATAATTTGCAGGTTTTTTGTTTACCGATTTCAGTATCCATATGAATTACATATTGCAATCGCGGGCTTAATATGCTAGTTATAAGGGATCGAAAAAACTCTGGTATGCCCGGTATGGTATATGGGGCAAAAATTGAAACTCAAGCTTGGATAAATAAAAATATTTGATGAAAAAATATAGAATGAAAATATACACGCTGTGCGCGACTGGTTTTACAAAAATGTAAATGAATATAATGGAAGTGCGTGAAAAAACAAGTGCGAGCTGAGAGGTGCTAAATATTATTTCCGAGGACCCTAGCTGAGTTTTTTTCTCTTAATTATTGGAAACCATTTTTCTGTGGTTTTTTGAATGGGGCAGATAGCTTGTGGCGCAATCCAGTTGCTTAATTGGCAAGTTCTCGTCAATCGAAACGGATTAAAAACAGAATACGTACCTTTTAAAATCTACTTTTTATAGCTCATTTTTGCAGTGCAATGTTTTGATGTTTAATTTTTTTTTATAAAGGTGTTTAAAAGTATGCTACAATTTGATTTAACCTTCATTCCGAAATGAGACGATTTTTTCGCTGCATACTTTTAGACTCCTTAATAAGTGATTTTAAAAAGCGAATTTTTTTTTTAATATTACACTTATAATCCGACTTTTTTAAAAATAGTTACTTTTTTAATAGTATGGGATGTTGAGCCGGTTTAATAATATTCTTTACAATCAAAATAAAATTATTCCGCATC